TTCATTCCCGGTTCCTGCTGCTGCATGGGACCCCGCGGCTCTGCCGTGTGCAGAACGGCAAAACACGGCGGCTTTTGTGTGTTTTTGTCACCTGCCACCTCACAGAGCTCTAAATTCTGTCATCCAAGTGTGTTTCCACTTCAATCCCTTGCATTTCGCAAGGAATTATTATTGTTATTTTTTGAAACAGAGTCTCTCTCTCTGTCACCTGTGCTAGAGTGCCATGGCCTAGCTAGTCAGCCTAGCTCACAGCAACCTCAAACTCCTGGGTTCAAGCGATCCTCCTGCCTCAGCCTCCCGTGTAGCCGGGACTACAGGCATGCGCCACCGTGCCCGGCTAATTTTTTCTATTTTTTGTTGTTTGGCTACTTTATTTCTATTTATAGTAGAGACGGGGTCTGGTTCTTACTCAGGCTGGTCTCAAACTCCTGAGCTCAAGCGATCCTCCCGCCTCTGCCTCCCAGAGTGCTAGGATTACAGGCGTGAGCCACCGCGCCTGGCCTGCAAAGAATTTTTTTACCCTGTAAATGGTGATAGCTTTGTCTTTTCCGTAGCGTTCGCCTCTTCTGTTTTCTTTTCGCCCCTTCCTTCTCTCAAAAAGGAGAGAAAGCCGCATTTCGGCAGAGTGACCCTGGGTCAGCCGTGGACTTCACTCACACCGCGTTGGTGTTGGCTGCTCTGCATTGGCAAACATGGCTCCCTGGTGGGGAGCCTGCTGGGGGATGGGGTGTGGGGGACTGTCCACACCTTCTGCTAAATTGTTCTGTCACCCTAAAACTGGCCTGTGCCCACATCCCTGCTCCCCAGGAAGCTCCAGATGCCCCTTTGCTCTGTGGGGGAGGCTCCTTCCAGGTGCCTGGTGGGAAAGAAAAGCCCTTTGTCTGCGGCATGCGCCCCGCAGGTGACCAGGCCCAGAGGGGCCTTTGCAGGGAGCAGCCGTCCGTCACTGCCCTCAGGTGTGCCCTCAGCCACGCTCAAGTGGCCCCAGGTGGTGGTGAAACCCACACACCTGCTGTCAGGTGTGGGCAGCCCGTCCCTGCCCAGCATGACCTCTGCAGACCAGCATCTGTGCCCCCATCCCCTGATGTCCTTTTGTCTAAACACTCGAGCTCTCTCTGCTGTGCGGAGGTGTGTGCAGGCTGCCGTCCTCACCTTTTGAGATTGAATAAACGCTCTAAACTGAGTTCTGACCTTGGTTGTTGGGTGGGGCTAAGCCTGGATTCGAGTGATGAAAGGCCATCGAGGTGCCGCAGGTGCCCACCGGCAGAAGCGAATTCTGGCCAGAGGGACTCTCCCAGCCCCGCCCAGCCCGCCTGTGGCCGCAGACACCTGTTTCTGTTCCCACCCAGGCACTGGCCGTGGAGCTGGTCACTGTCCCTTTCTTCCCCGGGGACAGGCGCTTCTTTGCCACAGTTGAACGTTAGCGGATTTCGGGCGGACAGGGTTTGCCCTGTGCCCTGGACCGTCAGCCCGGAGGGGAGACCACGGGCAGGTCTGGCTCAGCCTCAGCTCCGCAACCAGAGGAGCCCACCAGCCCCGACCAACTGGCCCCAAGGAGCCCTGGCCACGAGCACAGACGGCCAAGTGCAGAACGTGGTGGTTTGTTTCGCAGCACTGCTGACCAGTGCGCGGTTCTGCCTCCCCAGGCAGATCCTCCCCAAGCCTCAGTTTCCTCATATCTGAAGTGGGGGTGGTGGTCACAGTGGTGCCTTCTCCATGGGACTAGCTCTGGATCGCTGACGTGTTCAGGGGAGTTAGTAGCTCCTGGCACACAGCACCACGCCGTGAGCCGCTGGCCCTGCAGACGGCCAGGCCCAGAGGGGCCCGGGTCCAGGCTCCCGGCCTGCTGCGGGGAGGGGGCTGGTCCCTGCTGCGGCAGTGGCTTCCCATGTGGCCCTGCTGCCATCTGTCCTCCAGCCCGGGCAGTCCCTGCGGCTCCTCCCCTGCCGTCCTGCACCTTGTTTGCAGAAGCTGCACTTCACTCGGCTGTCACCCTCCTGTGGTCTAGTCACGACTTGTCCCTTGTTGGTACCTTGGTGACACTTCCTGGAGATGAATGTCCAGGGTTGGCAGTGTGGTGACTGTGCTACTCTAGGGAAGGGCCCAGCCTGGGGACACAAGCCCCTGCCCAGGGGCCCCCCACACCCTGGCCACCCCGATGCCCAGCCAGACACAGGACCCCACCCAGGGCCAGCGGGTGGGAGACGAGGGGCTGGGGATCCCTTCCCCATGCCGGTGGACCCGGCCAGCGCCCGTCATGGGGCTGCTCTCTGGACCTGGGGGAGGGGCGTTGAGGGGCTGGAGAGGCGGCCAGAGGGGTGCGGTTCCCCCACGGAGGGCTGTGGACAGCAGCCAGGGGGTGAGTCACAACCACCACGGGGGGGGGCAGTGCTCCCACCCCACTGACTCCGGAAGGTGCTCCCGCCGCGAGTGCTCGATGTGCGGACGCCGGATCCCAGCCTCTCTGGGAGGCAGAGCTGGGCCCTGTGCACACCGGGGCCGTAGCAGCTGCCTCTCGGGGGCTGCAGGAGGACCCGGGGGGCTGGTTTTATTCCAGCGCCTCTGCCCTGAGTTTAGAATCTCCCTCCAGCGCCTCCTGGCCCACCCTGCCACGACCCCTGCCTGCCCCCTTCCACGCCCTCACGAGTGGCACCGCCGGCCATGGCTGACTCGCAGTTTCACCAGGCTTCTGTCGGGGGCCGCCTGGGACAGTCCTTGGCCCCTGGGCCCGTGCTGGGAGCTTGGAGCCCGTCCGCTGACCCACACGGCGGGCAGGTCGCCGGCCGGAGCAGGATGACACGAAATATTCCGATGACAGAAACAGCCATCCCCTCCCAGTTGGCCTCTACTTACCCTGGCGACGTGCCCAGTTCCCCGGCACCTCTGGGTGCACCGAGGACGCCCCCTGAAGGCCCCGGCTGGACTGTGAGTGGGACCCCACGGGGTCCTACAAGTCCTGTCTGAGGGGGGCTGGCCGTGGTGAGGAGCATGCGTGGCCGGGGTTGGGGGGGAGTCGGGGCTTGACAGCTGTGAGTGGAGGGGGTCCCCCCACCCCGGCCCCGTCCTGCCCCCTCTGCGGCACGTGCGGGCTTGCGGTGGGGACACGCCCCCAGCACAGCCCCCGGCGGCAGGTGTCCTCAGCACACGGGTTGAGCGCGGCTCCTCACCCGACCCTGGTGAGGACTTGGACACACAAGGAAATGCAAGAAAATACATGAAAGAAACTGCTTTTTAGGGGGACAGACCAGATCATTTTCTTCCCTCTGAACACGCCCCTGCCGTTACCTAACTCTCTTTTCTTTTTCTTGTCTTTAGGGAACGTCTCCAGTAAGGAGAGACACAAGGGAGTGTCGGCACCCGCCAGGATTGCCGGGCCGTGGGGCAGGGGCGGGGCTGTCCCCTCCACAGACAGGACGCTCAGTCCCACAGCGCGGCCACCTCCCTGGGAAGGGCAGGCTGGCCCGGGAGCCCCATGCTGTGCTGGGGGGCAGCCCCCAGTCTCCCGCTCATGTGGGCTCCAACCACGTGTGTGGAATCCCCGGGGACCGGTGGGCTGTGCCCCCCATGGGAGACTCCCGGGAGGTGGGTCTGAGCCCATGTCCAAGGCCCTGCCAGGCCGTGGATCAGTTCAGGTGTTACAGGTGACCAGGGTCTGGCCAGTGATGCGGGGGTCGGGTACTGGGGCTAAGGGGTGAGGACAGGTCGCATTTCTGGGAACATTTTCCGTGCACCCAGAGGAGCAGGTGTGGCCGGGCTGGTGTCCTGCTGTGCCGGGCAGGGTGTGGGGCGCACTGGGCCAGGCTATGGGGTCCCTCTGCGTGTGCCCTGTGGCTGGATGGGGGCGGCCCCGTCCTTCCCTGGCTGTGGGGCCGGTGGTGACAGGCCACCCTGGTTCTGAAAGTAACACGGGTCTCAGGGAACCCCGGGGTCCGGGCGCTCGGAGACCCCTTGGGGACCCGTGCTCCCTCCCGGGCCTGGGTGACGTGTGACGCTCAGACACCACCAGGTCAGCCCTTAGTCACAGCCCTTCCTGCGGGACCTGCCCCACTTTGCACTCGCGGACACGGAAACTGGGGCCACCTGACCCGCTGCCTGGCATGCTCCGCGACCTGATCCCTGGGCTCCCTGGGCCCGCGCTGAGGTCGGGTTTCCGGCTGGCAAGGGGCGCCCAGGTGACGCTGGCCCTGGCCTCCCGGCGGTGCCCGACGCCTGTGGCGCTCGAGCATTGGAGCCTGTTCCCGGAGCTGCAGGGGCGGCCGTCCCATCAGCCCGTCAGCCCGTGCCCTCCCCGGGTGGCCTGCGCACCGCGGGTGGGGGCTGAGGCCCAACCCAGGGCCCAGCGTGGGCGCAGCCACGGGCGGGCAGGCTGGGTGGGCTTTCTCCAGGACGGTGGGCGCAAGTTTGGCGTGCCGCCAGGGAGGCCCGTCGGCTCAGGACACGGGATCCCTCTTGCGTCGGAACATAGAATGAAACTGGGTGGGGAGCGTGGGGGCGCAGACCCTCTGCACAGCCACAGGGAGCAGGGGGCGGGAGGGATGGGGCGGGAGGGGCCGGGGGGCACAGCCCCTCCTGCGTCTTCCCCTGGAACGAGCAAGAATGAGCCTCTCCGTTCCCCGGGGACTCCCCGCACCCCAGGCGGGTCTCTGCACCCCCAGGCCGGGGCGGCAGGTGGTCGGGAGGGCGTCCGCACATCCGTGTTCCGTGTTTACGACCCTGGGGCCGCACCGGCCTGGGGACGTGAGGGCACGAGATGGGGAAGGTGCCACGTTCCTGGTGAGGTGGCGTCTGGCTGGGAACCTCGCTCCCAGCCCAGGCCTGCCAAGGTCAGGCTCCCGTGCGGCGTGGCCGGGGTTGGTCTCAGCGAGGATGGGACATCTGAACACTCGGGAATGTGCCAGGTGGGAGGGGGCCCTACCCGGCCCCCAGCCCCTGGGAGGCTGAGAACCCTGCTGGGCCCCCCTCCCTTCCCTCCCTCCCATCCACACCCCCCACCAGTCCGCACCACCCCCTGGCTGCCTCCAAGCCAGGGGTGACTGAAGAGCTTCCCGAGATCACCGGGACGGCTCACCCTGTGGTCTGTGCTCAGGCCCTTCCGTGAGCCCGAGCCCCGTGGCTGCTCTGCTCACCTGTCCTGCCCCCAGACACTCCAGGCCCCCGGGACCAGGGCTGGCCGCACCGTGGCCTCTGCCCGCTGCCCGCGTGTGGCCCCGCACCCTTCCGGGGAGCCCTCCGGACCGACACCCCTGCTCAGCCCTCGCTCTGTGCTCTCAGGGCAGGCGTCCCCCCACCCACTGTTCTCCCACCTGGCATGGCGGGGCCTGGGCGTGCGGGAAGCCGGGCGGCCCCCACCTGGGCCAGGGGAGTGGCTCGCCCTGTGCCTGACACACCTGGGCCGTGGTGTGGGATCCCGGCCGGCTGAGGCTGCGTCCGCCCGTGTGCGCCGGCCTCGTCCTGCATCCGCCTGCTCTTCCCGCCTGAGGTGGAGCAGGGACAAGACGGGGTCCAGCGTTCTCCCATCTGCGGGACAGCGCGTACCTGAGCTGCCTGCACCCCGTGTCTCCCCAACTTGCGCCGCACCTGAGGGCCGACGTTGGTCTCCGGCCTTGCAGGAACGTGCCCGTTTGCGCCACGCCCGGCCGCCGGGTTTCTTTCTCTCTGTGCCCGTAGACGGCGGAGCTTCCACATCCCCTCTGGAAACGGCTGCAGGTCTGTGCGCGGCGAGATTTCCCAGGACCGTCCCTGTGCTGGCTTCGCAGACCCCTGCCTGCCCGTCAGCAGGACCCAGCGCCGCCGGCCCGGTGGAAGGCGCCTTCCGGTCACCTGCTCCCGAGGGCAGGGCCACACGGGCCCTTTCCCAGGCAGGACCCCGGGCGGGGCCTCGCCCAGAGCACAAGCGGCCTGGGGCTGGGCGGCCTGGGGCTGGGCGGCGGGGTGGACAGGGACACACAGGATCCGCAGCCCCCGCCCTGGGCCTGGCACGGGACACGCCCCGGCACAGGTGCAGCCAGGAAAGAGGGTCCCAGATGCAGCTCCCACCGCCAGGCAGGTGGGGTTGAGGCACCTTAAAGCACCCGGCGGCACACGTTTGTTGCATGTTGCAGCCTGGGCTGGAGGACGTGGCCTGTGAACACGTGTGGGCACGTGTCAAGCCTGTCGGGAGGTGAGGCCGCAGGGGGTTCCTGGCCGAGGAGGCTGTGGGGGCCCTCCTGGGGGTGCCCCTGGGCTGCCCATTCCCGGGAGCCGGGGTTCCTGGGGGGAGGCAGAGGTGGGGTGTCGTTTACAAAAGAGCCTCAGTGAAACTGGGACGAGAGTTAGTGGGGCTAATTGTTAAAGAACAAACACATTTTAAACTTGAGACTTTGGACCTCATTTTGTCCAAACCTTTCATTTTGGTAAGGAAACCGTGCCAGGTGTCCCTCCGGGAGCCTCCCGCACTGCCGGCACCTCCAGGCACCCTGAGGGTGGGGGCGGGTCGATCGCGCCTTGCAGAGCTGGGCCTGAGCGTGCGTGTCCGGCGGTGTGCTGGCGCCCCCTGCGGGTTCATTCGGACATCGCTGCTGACGAGGTTTCCTGAATCCGGTCACCTCTTCCCGCTGGGGTGACAGGACTCCCCATCCCATCCCGTCCCCCAACCCTGCCTTAAACTAGAGCAAAGCTGATTTCTCCCCACCCAAGATGCCTACAAGAGGGGCACAGGGTGGGCACAGGGTGTCTCGTGTCAGGAGCACATTAGGGGCACAGGGGTACAGGGAGTTCCATGTCAGGAGCTTTTTTTTTTTTTTTGAGACAGAGTCTCGCTCTGTTGCCTGGGCTAGAGTGCCGTGGCGTCAGCCTCGCTCACAGCAACCTCAAACTCCTGGGCTCAAGCGATCCTCCTGCCTCAGCCTCCTGAGCAGCTAGGACTGCAGGCATGGACCACCAGGCCCAGCAAATTTTTTCTATATATTTTTAGTTGACCAATTAATTTCTTTCTATTATTTAGTAGAGACGGGGTCTCGCTCTTGCTCAGGCTGGTTTTGAACTCCTGACATTGAGCAATCCTCCTGCCTTGACCTCCCAGAGTGCTAGGATTACAAGCATGTGCCTGGCCCCATGTCAGGAGCTTTTGTCTCACTGACTCGCCGTCAGCAGCCTGGGCTTCCTCCTTGTGGCCCAAGGCAGCTGCTCCAGCTCCAGCCCTCACACATGCCTTCCAGGCAGCAGCAAGAGCACAGGGGAAGAAAGGGCCTGCCCCTCCCTTTAAGAAAACCCTTGGAGATCACACACTCACTCTTGCTCACCAATTGATGGGCTGAACCTTTTCTTGTAGCTGCTCATAACTCCAAGGGATCTGGGGAGTTAGCAGATGAAGGAGCTGCGAGGGCCCCCAGACCCGTAGGCAGCTCTGCTCCAATCCTTCCCCCACCCACCCTTATTTCCATCCCTTTGAGCGTGTGCCAGGTGGCGCGAGGGCCTCTGGTCCAATTCTGTCCTGGCAAGGAACAAACACGAAGGGCTGCCTCCCCCCAGAAGCCTGCACAGCCCGTGGGATGGGGTGGAGGTGACTTGCTGTGTAGCCCCATGACCAGAGACAGGGCCACTAACATCACCAGGCCTCAGTGTTCTCATCTGTAGAGTGGGGACACGAACAGCATCCACCGCAGAGGCTGAGGTGAGGGAGGGTGGGGAGGCTGGGGAGGCTGGGGGGGGCAAGGCTGGGGGGTTCCAGGCTGGAAGAGGCCGGGGTATGGGGAGGCTGGGCTGGGGGAGCAGGTGTAAGGGGGCCAGGCTGGTGTACAGGATGCTGGGCAGGGGGCAGGTGGAGGGAGGGGCCAGGCTCTGTGGGTGGGGCCAGGCTGAGGTCAGGGTGGGGAGCCTGGGGTTCAGAATGCTGGGTGGGGAGCTAGGCTGGGAGGCCAGGCTCGGGGGGCCAGGCTGGGGTGCAGGATGCTGGGCAGTGGCCATGCTGGGGGGGCCAGGCTGAGGTCAGGGTGGGGGGCCAGGCTGGGGTACAGGATGCTGGGTGGGGGGCTACGCTGGGGGACCAGGCTCGGGGGGTCAGGCTGGGGTGCAGGATGCTGGGCAGTGGCCATACTGGGTGGGCCAGGCTGAGGTCAGGGTGGGGGGCCAGGGTGTAAGATGCTGGGTGGGGGGAGGGGCTAGGCTCAGGGTGCCCCGCTGCTCCAGCTGGGTCTGGAGTTGGCGTCCCCCTCGCTCAGCTCCGCTGCTCCTGCACCATGACGCAGCTCCAGGAGCCCCATGGCCATGGCCGCGCCTCACCCCTTTGCTGAAGAGTGAGCTTCTAGGTCAGAAACACTGCTGTGTGGACAGTGGTCACTCCCCAGTCAGCAGGACCCTGCAGAGCAGTGCCGAGACAGCACGAGGACAGGACAGGCTAGCGGAACTCCAGGAGCACATCACCTCAGGGGGAGAAGTTTTGTCATCTCCACGGGGAAATGGTCAGTGTCCACTGACGGCCACCAGGCGGCTGCCAGCCCTGCTCGGGACAGCTCTGCTGGGGACTCACAGCCTTGGTTCATGTGGGAAGGACAGGGAGGCCGGAGAGAGGACTGTCCTCAGCCACACAATCACCATGCTGTACTCAGGGACACACAGCTTCCCTCAGGGACACACAGCTTCCCTCAGGGACACACAGCTTCCCTCAGGGACACACGTGGCTTCCCTCAGGGACACACGCAGCTATCCTCAGGGACACACAGCTGCCCTCAGGGACACATGTGGCTTCCCTCAGGGACACACACAGCTGTCCTCAGCCACACAATCACCCTGCTGTCCTCAGGGACACACATGGCTGTCTTCAGGGACACATGCAGCTGTCCTCAGGGATACACACAGCTGTCTTCAGGGACACACAGCTTCCCTCAGGGACACACACAGCTGTCCTCAGGCACACAATCACCCTGCTGTCCTCAGGAACACACAGCTGTCCTCAGGGACACACAGCTTCCCTCAGGGACACACAGCTGTCCTCAGGGACACACAGCTTCCCTCAGGAATACACAGCTGTCCTCAGGGACACACAGCTTCCCTCAGGGACACACAGCTGTCCTCAGGGACACACACAGCTGTCCTCAGGGACACACAGCTTCCCTCAGGGACACACAGCCTCCCTCAGGGACACACAGCCTCCCTCAGGGACACACAGCTTCCCTCAGGGACACACAGCTTCCCTCAGGGACACACAGCTTCCCTCAGACACACACACAGCTTCCCTCAGGGTCACACAGCTTCCCTCAGGCACACACACAGCTTCCCTCAGGAACACACAGCTTCCCTCAGGGACACACAGCTTCCCTCAGGAACACACACAGCTTTCCTCAGGAACACACACAGCTTCCCTCAGGGACACACAGCTTCCCTCAGGCACACACAGCTGTCCTCAGGGACACACAGCTTCCCTCAGGCACACACACAGCTTCCCTCAGGGACACACAGCCTCCCTCAGGCACACACAGCTTCCCTCAGGCACACACACAGCTTCCCTCAGGGTCATACAGCTTCCCTCAGGGACACACACAGCTTCCCTCAGGGACGTACAGCTTCCCTCAGGAACACACACAGCTTCCCTCAGGAACACACAGCTGTCCTCAGGGACACACACAGCTGTCCTCAGGGACACACAGCTTCCCTCAGGCACACACAGCTTCCCTCAGGGACACACAGCTTCCCTCAGGGACACACAGCTTCCCTCAGGCACACACAGCTTCCCTCAGGGACACACAGCTTCCCTCAGGGACACACAGCTGTCCTCAGGGACACACACAACTTCTCTCAGGTACACACACAACTTCTCTCAGGGACACACGCAGTTGTCCTCAGCCACACAATCACCCTGCTGTCCTCAGGGACACACAGCTGCCCTCAGGGACACACACAGCTGTCCTTAGGGACACACAGCTGTCCTCAGGGACACACACAGCTGTCCTCAGGGACACACACAGCTTCCCTCAGGGACACACAGCTTCCCTCAGGCACACACAGCTTCCCTCAGGCACACACAGCTTCCCTCAGGGACACACAGCTGTCCTCAGGGACACACACAGCTGTCCTCAGGGACACACACAACTTCTCTCAGGGACACACACAACTTCTCTCAGGGACACACGCAGTTGTCCTCAACCACACAATCACCCTGCTGTCCTCAGGGACACCAGCTGTCCTTAGGGACACACAGCTGCCCTCAGGGACACACACAGCTGTCCTCAGGGACACACATGGCCTCCCTGCAGCAACCCCTCCCACCGCGGGGCCTGGTACTCACACTGGGCTGGGCCCTACCTGCCTGTGGCTCCATGTATGCTGGGTGGAGTCCGCGGCCACAGCATGGCAGCCCTGCCTCCTCCTCGCTCATCATTCATTCACTCAGTTGTTTACCCGGCACGTGCCACACTCGGGTCACAGGCGCTCCGGTGGGATTTCTCCTGGGCCCAGCACTGAGGAGCAGCCCCCAGACACAGAGGCTCACGCGGCGGATGGGGACCCTACAACCCCGCCCGCGAGGAGCCTCCCACTGGAGGTGTTCGGGTGCGCGAGTGGCCCGTGCACACAGCAAACGTCCCCTGAGCACTCTCCTTCCAGGGCATCTGCGCCCCCAGATGCCCCCACTGGAGCCGACCGCTGCTGTCCCTGCTCACTGCGCCTGGGGCCTTCTAGAAGGGAAATCTCACGTCTCCTCAGCACCCAGAGGTCACACTGCTGCTGCACAGCTCTGACAGCCATGGTGACCCGGGAGGGGACTCGGGGAAGCGGGCAGCTCCTGGGGACGACTGGCCCCTCCCTGGCGCCTGTCCTGTCCTCCAGGGCTTGGCAGCGGCCCCGGGAACAGGCTGCAAGTTTGCTGTTTCCCTGAGCTCAGCACCGACCCGGGTGACTAAGGGTCCATGGCGGGTCAGGCCTCGCCCGGGCCAAGGTGAACCGCAGGACACAGCCCAAGAGCTGACCCCAGGCCAGGCCCGAGGGCCAGGAAGAGCGGCCACACCTGTGCCTGGATTATGGGGTGAGGAGGGCGTTTCCCCCATGGGAGGGGGCGACCCCAGTAGGAAGGAACGCACAGAAGGGAAACGGGGTGCAATGGGGGGGGTTTGCTGGGGTCTTGAGCACGAGCTGCCTCCCCACCCCCAACATGGGAGGGGTCCGCCCTGCTCTGGTGACCTCTGAACCCTGTCCCTCCCCTTCCCCTGAAGACTCTGGCACGTGGCCCCCGGGACCTTCTAGACTGGGACTTAATTCTCTGGACCTTGGCCCCAATCCCAGGAACACACCCAACCTTGTGGCTCACGTGGGGGCAGCCAGGAGGGACACCCGGCCCCAGCCCGCCTGTCAGCCCCCGCTGGGAACAGCTGCCGGCTCCACAGCCGATAGACTCGCGCTCTGGGAGGTGTTTCCCAGTCTGTCAATGAGCAAGCCAGTGAGCGCATCAACACAATGCGACTCACCTTTGTCCCCCCGCTGTTTGTCAGGGAGCAGCTCGGAGGGTTATCACCTAGCATCCGATGATAACGCGGAGTCCGGCAGAGAGCCTGTGCTTGGGGTGGGGCTCCCGTGAATCCGGTCTAAGGAAGGCCGCGCCAGGCCGGGAAATGTTTCCAAACTGATGCCGGGCACGGCTGCTCACACCTGCAATCCCAGCACTCTGGGAGACCAAGGCAGGAGGATGTCCTGGGGGCGGGAGTTCCAGACCAGCCTGGGCAACATAGCAAGACCCCATCTCTACAAAACTAAAAAATGGTTGTTATTGGTGAACTCGGGGTTTTGTTCGCGTGATAAGTGTCCCCCCAACTGTGTTTCCTTCCAAACATCTCCAAGCCCAGCTGCACGAGCACCTCACGCTGCCTGCGGAGGAGAGAGGCAGAAGTCGCTTTACTGCCGGCCGTGCTCGGCAGCTCTGGGCACAAGCCATCCCGCAGGGCACGGCTGTGCATGGTGATTACGTGGGCAGCTCTGAGGCCAGGCCGCGGATCCCGAGTGTGCAGCTGGGGCTGCCCCACGCGGCAGGAGCCCAGAGAGCGCCAGGGCGCTGGGGGTGGGGGGCAGCGAGCTCCGTCCACCCCTCAGTTTCCAGACGCTGCTGCCAGTGCTGCTGGGAGGCCCTGCAGGGTGACGGGGACTTGCGGGAGGGGGTGGGGCAGGAACAGGTGGCTCTGTGTGGTCTTTGTCCAACCTCGGCCCCCACACTGGCAGCCGTCGGATGGGGCCCAGCCCACCCCAGGGCTCCTCGCAGGCACGGGGAGGCTGGGGGCCGCCAGGGGGCCTCATTCTGGATGCCTGGGGGGCTCCCACCTGGGGGTGGGGTGAGGACGCAGGGTCATCCCAGGAGCCTGGACTGCCAGGAGCTGGGACCTGGGCAGAAGCCAGGAGGCCCCGAGGGCAGGCCCCTCTCTGGACGAGGCTCCCTGAGGGCAGGCCCCTCCCTAGACGGGGCTCCCCGAGGGCCCGGGAGGCCGAGGCCGCGCGCTGCCCAGGGTTTCTCTACGTGGACACTCGGCTGGGGGTGCAGGCGCCTCCTGGAAAAGTACCGGCCGGGGAGTCCATGGGAAGGTGATTCTCGGTTGATGGTTAATCAGGAGACTCTGCTTGAAAACAACTTTACGAGTGTCTCAAAATGCCCTGAGCAGGAGGAGCTAAGTGACAGCGGGGTTGTGCTGTGGCCTGTGACCCGCCCTCTGTGCTGTCCTTGGACACGGTGCCAGGGGGCGGACTATGGGTGAGATGCAGCCGGAAGGCCCCGTGCCCCGCCCCAGGGTCAGCGCTGACCGGCCACGCTTGTGCCAGCAGGCCTGGGCGGGCGAGGGGTCCCCAGGCGGGAGGTGGGCAGGTTCTCGTGCCAGGCACTCCCCAGTGCGCTGGCGTTCTGGGCCCGCGGGGGCGGGGTCCCCGCACAGCTGCTGGGCTCTGGGCTCAGCTGTTTGTTACCTCGCCCGCCCGGAGCCGGCAGGCGCTTCCTGTCCCGGCCCATCTCGGTGGTTTCCTAGACAGTCAGGAACGCTGGTGCCCTTGACAACCAGCAGGGAACAAACACTGCGCGATGGGACCGGAGGGAGAGGGGGCCACAGAGCCAGCATCCCTGGGAGTCCCCAGCCTGGAGGGCGTTGGGGACAGGACTGCTGGGTGCAGACTCTCTCCCTCCCCTCCCTATCTTCCTCCCTCCTGTCTCTCTGTCTCTGCCTTTCTCTCTGTATCTCTGTCTCTTTATGTCTCTGTCTCTATTTCTGTCTCCCTCTGTTTCTCTGCCTCTATGTCTATCTCTCTGTTTCTCTGTGTCTCTATCTGTCTCGCTGTATCTATCTCTTTCTGTGTCTCTGTGTCTCTATCTCTGTCTCTCTGTGTCTCTCTATCTCTCTGTTTCTCTATGTCTCTGTCTTTATCTCTGTCTCTCTCTGTTTCTCTGTGTCTCTGTCTCTGTGTCTCTATCTCTCTCTCTGTCTCTGTGTCCCTATCTCTCTTTCTGTGTCTCTATGTCTTTCTCTGTGTCTCTATTTCTCTGTGTCTCTCTGTCTCTGTGTCTTTATCTGTGTCTCTGTCTCTTTGTGTCTCTCTATCTCTCTGTGTCTCTATCTCTCTGTATCTCTGTCTCTCTGTGTCTTTATTTCTGTGTCTCTGTCTCTATTTCTCTGACTATCTATCTCTCTGTGTGTCTCTCTATCTCTCTGTGTGTCTCTCTATCTCTCTATCTGTGTCTCTATCTCTCTGTATCTCTCTCTGTCTTTATCTCTGTGTCTCTGTGTCTCTATTTCTCTATCTCTGTGTGTGTCTCTCTATCTCTCTATCTCTCTGTGTCTCTATCTTTCCGCTTCTCTCTCTCACTCTGCCCGCCCTGGCCCCACCCTGGCTGTGTGTCCTCCCTCCGTGGCAGGGACAGGAAGGGCACACAGAGCCACTGTCCACAGAGGTGAGGTTAACCCTGGAGTCACCTCTGGGCCCAGGGGTCAACAGTCCCGGCCAGGGCCAGGGAGTCCCAGGGTCTCGTGACTTGGGGGCGGCTGCTCGGGGCCCCGGGAAGAAGTGCTCGAACCTCCCGTTCAAAGCAAAGGTTAATGATCCTTGGATCATGAGGTTCCTGCCGGGCTTCCTCCGAGCCGCCTGCCGGCTGTCTGGACCTAGCGGGTGTCGGAGGCGACCCCGTAACCAAGTCACATCCTCCCTGCCTTGTTGTGGGGGCCCCTGTGCTTTTAGGGCGTCTCTGCCCTGTCGGGGGGGACCCCAGGATCGGGCCCCTCCCTGTCTCCCTGCTTTCCTCTCCGGGGCCCAGCTTGGCCACACTGGGGCCCCCGAGCCTCCTAGGGGGCTGCGCTTGACTGTCGTCCAGCCAGAGCTGCCCGGCGGACCCAGCGCTCAAGGACACCCCGGTCAGCACCTTCCCTGGCGGCTGGCGCCACCTCCGCAGGGCATCCCGCAGGGACCGTCCCTCTGCAGGGGGCAGCCGGCCTGCGGAGCATCCCGCTTCCAGCCACAGCCACTTCCCTGCCCAGTGCTGGGGTGCTGGGGGGCAGAGGGAGCCCGGGAATGGCTCCCCCATCCGCCCCGACAGGCCCCCGGCACCCCAGCGGGCCGGCAGCTCCGCATGTGCCTCCCGGGGCCACCCAAGCCGGGCGGGCACCCTGAGCACACTGGGACCCCCGCGGTCCCCTCCAGGACGCCTGGCGCACGGCACAGGCTGCGAGGAGGGAGGCTGCGGCCCCCCCGGGAGGGACGAACTGGAACCCACAGCCAAGAGCCGCGCTGGCCCCTGGCGGCTGGCCACCCATCCTGGCGGCTGTGGCAGCTCTCACGGCCGCCGCGCTCGGCCCCCCCCACCCCAGGCCTGGGTGGGATGCGCCCCTCGCCTTGGTGACAGAGCCACGGCACTCTAGCCTGGGCAACAGAGTGAGACTCTGCCTCAAAAAAAAAACCAAAACAACAAACCAGGTAAAAAGATCAGTGGGTAAAAGTATTAGGAAAAGATTTTGGTATAAGGTCAATGTACAGAAAGTAATTGTACTATTACTATTAACCCTAAATAACAGAGACTCCCTAAAAGAAAACGACATTCATCCAAGAACAGCACGCGTGAACACCCTCGGGGCGGCAGAGGAAGCCGAGGGTTTCCGCGGAGAGGTGAGGCGGTGACATGAGCTGTTCTGAAGCAATTATCCCTGGCCGCGGGTCGACGGTGAGGGTGGCGCCAGTCCGAGGCTGGATGGGCAGTTTCCAGGCAGAGGTCCTCAGAGGGCGTTTTTGTGTCAGGCTGCAGGTTTTGCAGAATCTTTTGGGTTTTTTTTTTTTTTAAGACAGATTGTCACTCTGTTGCCCGGGCTAGAGTGAGTGCCGTGGCGTCAGCCTAGCTCACAGCAACCTCCAACTCCTGGCTCAAGCAATCCTCCTGCCTCAGCCTCCCAAGTAGCTAGGACTACAGGCATGCGCCGCCACCATGCCCGGCTAATTTTTTCTACATACTTTTAGTTGGCCAATTAATTTATTTCTATTTTTAGCAGAGACGGGGTCTCACTCTTCCTCAGGCTGGTCTCGTACTCCTGACCTTGAGCAATCCTCCTGCCTCGACCTCCCAGAGTGCTGGGATTACAGGCGTGAGCCACCGCGCCCGGTCCTTGCAGAGTCTTGTGTGGTCGTTCTCGCTTTGGGCATTTGTGTGTGAGGCCCCACACCACCACTGCGGCCTTCCCGGGCTGCGCCGTGACAAGGTTCCACACGGGTGACTCCACTTTGGTTCCGACACTTTCACGTCACGTACACCAACAACTCACGAGTAAAAGACGAACATTTAAAGGGCAACACCATTCACAGTGCATCAAAGAGTAAGTGCCTAGTTATAAATCCAACGAAAGATCTTTAAGACTTCTCCGGGAAAAACATCACAGAGAAAAAGAAAGCCCAAATGAATGCAGGAACATACTATGCCCGAAAACCTTGCCATCGTTCAGATTTCCGTTCAGATCCGCTCGTAGATCTGCGGATTTAACGCACCCTGGCCAAAACCCCAGAAGGCTTTCCGGGGGAACTCACGGGCTCACTATGAAATGTGGTGTTCTCGCAGAGCAGCGACGCTGAAGGACGTCGCCATCAGTCACCAAGGCCAGCAGAGCTGCGGGGATGAGAACACGCCAGGGGAGGGAGGGCGGCACAGTGGGTGACAGGCAGTGTCACAGCCAGGGGCAGCGGCCGCCAGGGGTGTGCCGGGCCCCCCCCCGGGGCCTCGGGCTGGAGGGGCCAGGAGGTCGGAGGCCACGGGCGGGCTGGTGGGACCCTGCTGGCCACCGGAGGGTGAGGGCCTCTGTGTCCCAGGCACGGCGGGCCGTGCGAGGGGCTTGGCGGCCCCGCCGGGAGCATGCACGCCCCGCTCTGGCCTCCCCGGCCCCGCCCGGCCTCGGAGCCAAGGAGATCGCTCTGGGCACCCCGGCTCCTGGTATCTGTCCCTGCATCTGAGGAATGCTGCGATCACAGAGGCCGCCTCCAGCCCACAGGGAGCGCGGCGGCGGCGGCCGTGTGGCAGCCTCTCGGAGCCTGGCGCTGGGTGCCCTTCGCGCCCAGAGGGGGCTGGAGTGAACCGGGGCCAGGTGGGTTCTGCCGCAGGAGGCCCCGCCGGACTCCCGGAGACCGAGCCAGGGCCCGCCCGGGCGGAGGGTTGGGGGTGGCGGGCGGGGCGGCCGGGACCCTCCCGGGATCCGACACAGGAGCCCGAGCTCAGGTGGCCCCCGGAGTCCCTGTCGCGAGGCTGGGGCTTGGCGGCAGGCATGGGGCCTCTCTCCGCCAGAGCTGTTTCCAGATGCTTCCGCAGCAAACGACCGTGCAGTGAGATACCACGTCTGCGTTTTACAGGGAGGATCCGGCCCTAGGGCAGTGAGGTCCGTGGCCCAAGTCCGGTCCGTGCCACGCCCTGGCTTCCTGGGCTGAAGCTCCCAGAAGGGAAGAGACAGGGCCGGGGCCACAGTCCTGACTTGGTGGGACCCGGGGGCGCTGGGGGCTCGGTGGGCAGTGACCCTCCCCCACAGCGGCCCTGCATGTGGCCTCACGCTGGGCACGTCCAGGCGGCCCCTGCTCCTCGGCCGCCAGCCCACTCTCCCTGGCCCTGGGGTCAGGCGACCCCTCCTCCCTGTCTCCCCCGTCCTGCCCACCGTCCCCGGGAGCCCCGCACAGAGCCTGGGACAGCCTCAACCCTGCCCTCCTCTGTCTGTCTCTGTCTCTGTGTCTCTCCCCACCTCCCTCTCACTTTGTCTCTCTGTCTCTGTCTCTGTGTGTCTCTCCCACCTCCCTCTCACTGTCTCTCTGTCTCTATATCTGTGTCTCTCCCCACCTCCTTCTCACTGTCTCTGTCTCTGTGTCTCTCCCCACCTCCCTCTCACTTTGTCTCTCTGTCTCTGTCTCTGTGTCTCTCCCCACCTCCCTCTCACTTTGTCTCTCTGTCTCTGTGTCTCTCCCCACCTCCCTCTCACTGTCTCTCTGTCTCTGTGTGTCTCTCCCCACCTCCCTCTCACTTTGTCTCTCTGTCTCTGTCTCTGTGTGTCTCTCCCCACCTCCCTCTCACTTTCTCTCTGTCTCTATATCTGTGTCTCTCCCCAACTCCCTCTCACTTTGTCTCTCTGTCTCTGTGTGTCTCTCCCCACCTCCCTCTCACTTTGTCTGTCTCTGTCTGTGTGTGTCTCTCCCCACCTCCCTCTCACTTTGTCTTTCTGTCTCTGTGTGTGTCTCTCCCCACCTCCCTCTCACTTTGTCTCTCTGTCTCTGTGTGTGTCTCTCCCCACCTCCCTCTCACTTTGTCTGTCTCTGTCTCTGTGTCTCTCCCCACCTCCCTCTCACTTTGTCTCTCTGTCTCTGTGTGTGTCTCTCCCCACCTCCCTCTCACTTTGTCTGTCTCTGTCTCTGTGTGTGTCTCTCCCCACTTCCCTCTCACTGTCTCTCTGTCTCTGTCTCTGTGTGTGTCTCTCCCCACCTCCCTCTCACTTTGTCTCTCCCTCCTCCCTCTGTCTCTATCTCTGTCTCTCTCGCTTCTTCCTGCCCCCCTTCCCTCCAATCTGTGCTCCCCCCAGGAGCCAGATGTTCCTAAACACAAACCTGATCTCTTCCTAATCTCTTCCTTCCGGCCTCCACCCCTTCTGAGTTTTGGCTGTCGGGAGCCGCTCCCTGCAGGTGGGACCACCCGTATAACAGGAGGAGGATAACAGGAGGAGAGGCCGGAAGGACCGTGAGGTGGCTGAGGTCCTTAGAGGGCTGCCCGGGGCTCTGGGCAGGTGCTGCCCCTCGGGAGGGCCAGTTGGGGGGGAGGCCCCAGAAGGAGGGCACCCCCACCCCACCCGCGCACGGGGCCTTGGGGACTGTCTTTGTCCCTGCTCCTCCTGGGCCCCTGTGTCAGCCCCCAGCACAGGCTGCCTCACGTTGCTCTGTGGAAGGCAGGAGTCCTGCTGTCACCAGGAAGGCAGTGGGTCGGGCGGCTTCAGGTCTAACAGCTCTGGGGACCCAGAGGTGGCCAGGGTGGTTCCAGCCCGTGATAAGCCCAGGGTCCTCTTGGCCCAGCCTGGAGGGCCCCCTGGGCCCCTGGGTACTGGTGGGAACCCCCGGCCCTTTGAGCAGCTATTCAGCGCTCGGGCTGGGCGGGGCTGAGCTGGGAGGGGCGATGGCCACCCCCAGGCCATGGCTCCACTGCCCCCCCTCCAGGCCAGCAGCCCCCACACCCAGCGTGGGCTTCCTGCAGGTGGGCATGTGCGGGCGGCTGGGGGCAGGGCCTGGGGTCCCGCTGAGCCAGGCGGGTCAGCAGAGAGCCTGTTTGCCTTGGGTCCTTGCTCAGGGGAGTGTCCAGGCAGCCACCTGGCCGGGAGGGCGGCTCACCTGTGCGCGTTTGCACAGGGGAGGGGCGGCCTGCGCCTTGGAGCGGCCTCCGGTGGGCGGCCCCGCTGGCCCCAGGGCGGGCGCCCCGCAGATAAGGCATTAACAGTCCAGCGGACGGACGCGCCCCGCAGATCTGCTGACGGCTCCGTTCTGCCCGGTGCCTGGGGTGAGGTGCCAAAGGTTCTCTATAAAGCGCGGCACTCTCGGCCCACGGCCACTCGCCCTCTGGCTCCTGCCCTGCCCACAGCGTGCTCGGAACCGGCCCAGAGACCACCATGGTGAGGCTCGTGCTGCCCAACCCCGGCCTGGAGGAGCGGATCCCCTCGCTGGACGAGCTGGAGACCATCGAGCACCAGGAGGCCGGCTCGAGGCCCCAGTGGGACAACAAGGCCCAGTACATGCTCACCTGCGTGGGCTTCTGCGTGGGCCTGGGCAATGTGTGGCGCTTCCCCTACCTGTGCCAGAGCCACGGAGGAGGTAGGCCGGGCTGCCGGGCGGGCAGGAGCTGTGGCATGCGCAGTTCACAGCGTGGGCGCCCGGTGCACGGGAGATGGGGCCACGCCGCGCCCGTCCCGGTACCCCGGCTGCTGCTGAGGCAGCGGAGCCCTTTGCTGGCCCCAGAGCACAGCCCGACGGGAGGCCGGGGACAGGGGACAGTGGCCTCCCAGGCAGAGCCCCTGCCCTGAGGCTGCGAGGCCAGCCCTGTGCAGACACCTGGTGAGGTGCATCCTCTTGTGCCCCAGCAGGGCGGGCCTGTGGCCCTGGGACAGAGGCGAGAGCGTGGCTGGGGCAGGTGACCTGGATGGACGGGCGGGCAGCCAGAGCTTGTGCTGCTGGACTCCAGGCGCAGAGCCGGGGAGCCACTGAGGGTCCTGCTGTCCCCAGCTGAGCCGCCTCCACACTGGCTGCAGGACGTCCCTCTGTCCGGCCTCCTGGTGGCCCCAGGGGGGCGCAGGAGTTGCCTGAGTGATCCCCTGGGTGCCCTCCTGCATCTGACAGGTGCTTCCAGGCCTGTGAGGCCCCCGTGCCCCACCCTGAGGGGCTGTGCCTGGACCTCGGGCCAGAGGTGGCCGTGGGCGTGTGGGCGCAGACTGCTGCCCTGTGCGTGGGCGGCTCACTCACCACGGGCTCTGCTGGCCGGCCCGGGTGTATTCTCAGCAGCGGCCTCCTGTGGGTTTTAACAGTCTCCCCTAGATGATGTGCTCTCCATAGTGGTGGCCGTGTCTTTCCCAACCTTGAAGGACTTGCCGTCACTCACGTGGGCTTTGGGACGTGGAAGTCCCGGAGGGAAAGCAGGAAGGTCCTCCTGAGTCAGCTTTTCCTCCCGCGTGGGCAGGGGGTCCGGTCGGTGTCGGGGCGCAAGCCGTCTGTCTCTGCACTGGCGGGGGGTCAGCACGACGCCCAGGAGCGTGGCCCTCTCGCCCGTGGCAGCATGTCGCTGCCCCCCAAGGACGTGCCGTGTGGTGGGCGTCCGGCGGGCCGTGCTGCAAACTCAGGCAAGGAACCTTGGGGGATGGACGCACTGGCAGAGCGTGCGGGGCCCTGGTTCTCTGTGCGTGGCCTGGCAGGGGCTGGGCGTGGGCTCCGGGTGGACAGGCCAGGGCAGAGCAGGGCCCTGGGTGGGTGCACGGCGGGGTCCCATGTCCCTCCCGCCCAGGCAAGTGGCACCTACACCTGGCCCCTCGCCCGCTGGGATACCAGGTCCCCTGCTGGATTTTGAGGCCACTCGTCGCTGGGCCCCCCAGCTGCAGTGGTGGCAGCTGGCACCCAGGGTCTGGCCACCCCGCTGGCCTGGCAGGACGCAGGGTCTCTCTGCTGTGTGCTGGGCAGGATGCCACACCCCAGCCCACCCGCCCTCAAGGACTGAGGCCCCAGGGGGGCAGGGCGGGGGCCCGGCTCTGTGCCGCTCACCGCCTGTCACCGGCGCACCTGTTTCGTGACATGTGTGACCCGGGTGTGGCTCTGGCAGCTGGGGCTGCGGAGAACAGATGATGGACTCTGAGGAATGCAGGGTGCCCTGGGGGACAAGAGGCTACCGCTGGCAGGGACGCCAGGTCCGCCGGCTTCCCGAGGGCTCTGCGTGCAAACCTGCGTCCGTGACAAGGCCCCTCCTGATGGACGAGGGTCCTCGGCACTGACCAAGCAAGGTGGCCAGAGCGACAGGTTCGTCCTGTCTGGGATGGTCCTTTGGGGTTAACCCCCCCCCACACAAACACACACACAGCCTCCTGCGGGCTCCAGACCCCACAGTTCTGCCCCCTGGGTGAGCACAGGCGGGCGGCAGGCAGGAGCATCTCCAGAGCCAGCCGTGCCCACCTGCTGCGCCCACCTGCCTGGGGCTCACCTGGAAACGGACGTGGAGGGGAGTCCGCCCGCCGGATGTGGGGGCAGCAATGGAGGGTCGTGCCCACTTGCCCCTGCGGGGGTCCACCGCCCACCTCCGGTCGCTGGGTCCCTATCGCCCACGGTGCTGAGAGGGCAGCACAGGTGGAGTCACCTTCAGGCCCAGGGCACCTGCCCAGAATGCGAGGTTCTCCACGAGTGTCCCCCACGCCGGCCCCACGCTCTGGCACAAAGAGCCCACTGCAAGGACCACGCCTGCCCTGCACCACCTTGCTTGCCCACCACTCGTGCTCAGGAGCCGGGCTGCCAGCGGCCCCGGGGCTGGCCCTTTCCCTTGGCCTGGTCTGCATCTCCGCTCAGCAAACCCTTCAGCATCACCCCACACCCCAGACACCACCTGCTGGACAGAGGGGAGGGGACAGCTTGGTGCCTGCTCTCAGAACCTGCAGCTGCCCCTCCTCCTTCTCCTCTTCCTCCTCCTCCTTTCTCTCCATCTCTCCTCCTCCTCATCCTCCTCCTCCTCCCTCTCCTCTTCTCTCTCTTCCCTCCTCTCCCTCTTCCTCGCTCCTCTTCCTCCTCCTCCTCTCTTTTCCTCCTCCTCTCGTCCTCTCTCCCTTCCTCCTCCTCCCATCCTCCTCCCCCACTCTCATCTCCCTGTCCCTCCTCCTCCTCTTCTCCTCCTCTTCTCTCTTCACTCCTCCTCTTCTCCTCTCCCTCTTTCTCCTCTTCTCCTCCTCCTGCCTCTTCCTCCTTCTCCCTCCTCCTTCCCCTCCTCCTCCTCCATCCTCTCTCCTCTCTCCCTCCTTTTCCTCCTCTCTCTCCTCCTCCTCCTCCCTCCTCACTCTCTCTTCTCCTCCTCTCTGCCTTCTCCTCTCCATTCCAACCTTTCCTCCCTCCGTCCTACCCCCTTACTAACTTTCCTCCTCTTCTCTCCTCCCTCCTCCTCCTCTTCTCTATACCTCCACCACACCTCTCCTTCTCTCCTTCCCTACTTTCAAGAAGAGAGGGACTGTGGTTATGCTAAAGTGTCTTTTTCTTTGGGCACTTTTTTCATCCCTGTCCTACCGTTATTCTGCCACTTGACTTCCACCTGTGAAAGACAAAAGGCCCAGTTGAGGCGGCAAGCTTATCTTGAGTCCTGGTCTCTGGGG